GTCGCCCGTGCGGGCCCCTGAGCGTGTACCGAGGAGGGGGCTTCCCGTGTGTGCGGTGGAGTGGGTGCAGAGTGGCTGTGAGCTGAGGAGAGTGTGTGGGGTGTGGAGGCGGGGGGGTGTGTGGGGAAGGGGGGGTGAGAGGAGCGGGTGTACAGCGGGTGTAGCTTGTGCGTGGATGAGGGACCGAGTGCATCTTCAATAAGTTCACAGACAGCATCAAGTTGGGTGGGAGTGCCGCCCTGCCTGAGGGTAGGAAGGCTCTACAGAGGGGTCTGGACAGGCTGGATGGATGGCACAAGGCCAGTGGTGTGAGGTTTACCAAGGCCAAGTGCCAGGTGAACCACGGGGTCACACCAACCCCGTGAACGCTCCAGGCTGGGACAAGAATGGCTGGAGAGCTACGGCGGAAAAAGACCCGGGAGTGTTGGTCAACAGCTGGGTGGATATGAGCCAGCAGTGTGCCCAGGTGGCCAAGAAGGCCAACAGCATCCTGGCCTGTGTCAGGAACAGTGTGGCCAGCAGGAATGGGTCAGGGGTGGTCCCCCTGTACTGGGGACTTGTGAGGCCCCACCTCGAGGGCTGGGTCCACTTTTGGGCCCCTTACAACAAGAAACACCTTGAGGGGCTGGAGCGAGTCCAGAGAAGGGCAATAGAGCTGGTGAGGGGTCTGGAGAATAAGTCTTGTGAGGAGAGGCTGAGGGAGCTGGGGGTGTTCAGCCTGGAGAAAAGGAGGCTGAGGGGAGACCTTCTGGCTCTCTCCAACTCCCTGAAAGGAGGGTGTAGCCAGGGGGGGTCGGTCTCTTCTCTCAAGGAACAGGCAATGGGACAAGAGGAAACGGACTCAATTGTCACCAGGGGAGGCTTAGGATGGGCATTGGGAACGATTTCTTCCTGGAAAAGGTTGTGAAGCCTTGGAAGAAGCTGCACAGGGCAGTGGTGGAGTCTCCACCCCTGGAGGAATTTAAAAGCTGGGCAGATGTGGTGCCGAGGGACAGGGGTTAGTTTTGGGCTTGGCAGTGTTGGGTTAATGGTTGGACTTGATGATCTTAAAGGTCCCTTCTGACCCAGACAATTCAATGGTTCTGTGTGTAGTGTGGGAGGGTGTATCTGGAAGGCGTTGTGGATTGTACAAAGGTCGGGGGTGCTGTGTGTGGAGATGCTCCAAGGACTGGCTGGACTAGATGGTCTTTAAAGATCCCTTCCAACCCAAACTATTCTGTAATTCGATGATTCTGTTTTGCCAGTTTGACAGGGAAGGTTTGGGGAAAAGCCTCAGTCGGGTGTCGGGGGGGAGCTCTGCACAGATGGAGGAAGAGCGCTGTTGCAGAGAAGGATCCCGGGGAGGAGGAGGAGGTCTGTTTTCTGGACCTTTACCGACGTGAGGAGCCTGGGTTTGGTTTGTGGGAAGCCAGTGTAGCCGGAGCAAGGTGGTGAATGAGGAATGCTGCGTGGCGTGTCGCACGTGCAGAGCTGTGGGGTGTGGATGTAAACGTGGAAAGGGGTGGCTGGCAGCTTACACTGAGTTTTGAAAGCCTTAGAGAGCTGCGATACCTGAGTGGGCTGGGCTTGGGACTGCAGGTGTTTCTCTAACCCTTTGGGGAAAACGTGTGAGTTTGGGAGAGGAAGCGCTGTTAGCCTGACCGCTAAAAGTGTGGGTGAGTGAGGTGAATGCTGCTGTGAAGCAGCCAAAGATCTGGAGCCGGGGGGACCATTTTTCGCAATGAAAACTGCAGATGAGGATTTTTTCGTAGGGAAGCCCTGTTTTGCAATGAGCTTTGGGAATGCTCCAGAGGAAGTTTTTAGGGTGGCGGATACCAACTCGTTCTGCTTCCCAGGGGGATACGCAATGGAGGTTACTGAGGTTGGCATCAACGGTTAAATCGAGGGGTAGCAGCGGGACATTGTGCCAAGGAGAGTGCGTCAGGAGAGTCAGGCTGGCAGCGAGACCCGCTGGGCACGGGGACAATTTTCCAGTGGGAAGTGGTGGAACAGTTATCGGGAGGGGAACTGAAAGCTGCACTGGCTGCTGTCAGCCTGGTGCTGGGTCACTGGGGAGATGAGTATTTATTTACAGGAACATTTGCAGGCCACAGTCATAAGCCAGACTCCTCCTGCGTTAGATGCTGTTCAAAAAGAGTAATAGGAAATAATTCTCTGTCCTGCTGCCCTTGGCGTGTCTTCTGTTTTTTCACTTTTTTGGCTCTGAGCGAAGCAGGCAGACTGCTTACCTTGACATTGTTCCGAATAGACCACATTGGACTAACACCAGTCTTTCTCCAGCTCTCTAGACAGCACAATGACTTCCATGCTGAGCCACGCCATCAGAAACCTCCCTGCTTCCTCAGCATGGGCTCCCAGGCTCCGTAAGTATCTTTACGTTTATTAAAAGCTTGAATTGGTAGGTCATAAAGTTCTGGTTTAAGTGTTGGGTTTGGAATGGCTGCTTGTACCTGAGTCTCTGTTCCATTGTCACCCTAAAAAAGATCAGTGGGTTTTTTTTTTATGTTTAAATAACTAATTCCATTGTTTATCCCTTCCCATGTCAGGTGTGGGAGAAATCTTGTGTTAACGGGTAACGTGAACTGTGTTCATAAAAATAACAGAGTAAACTAAAAAAATATCTCACAGATGTTCAGGTGCAGTTTTCTTACTATGACATTATCTTATTTTTTTTTTAACAGTTCTTACTGAAATGAGAAATGTTTTTAACATTTCAGGTTTGATAAATCCTACTATTTCATGTCTTGTTTTTCAGTTGCTCGCTCGCTCAGCTGCTCTTCGCAGTTACAAGCCGCAGGTAAAGTTGAAAACTCCGTGAATCTCAGTGGGTCTGTGCTGGAGAAGACTCTTTTTGAAGCTGCCTCCCTTTTCCAGAGTTTTGTTTTACACAAATCTCAGAAATACCGCGCAGACAGCCTTAGTTCCAGAAAGCTACCAACAGATAAAACTGCAGGGAAACCGCTGGTCGCAGCAGAGTCCTCTCAACCTCTGAGTGTCCCTCGCTCCCAGCAGCTCTGCCCAGCCCAGAGCTCACGTCCCGCTGTCACCTGATAGATTGCTATTTCTAGAATCTAAACACAGAGCTTGGGGTTTTTAAGCTGTTGGGGCCTAACCAGAAGGGAGGGGACTGTCCCTGGCAAGGAGAAGCTTGTGGAATTAGCCTTGAAGTCTGGTGAGACCAGTAAGAGGCTCAGGTCTCGGTGGAGTGGTTGAGCACGCCCCGTTCTGGGGGTTATTAGCTGGGATCAGGCCTTCTGGGTTTCATCTGGGGGGGTTGCTCAGGTGACCGTAATGCTGTGAGCTGCCTGGGTTTTGGAAACAGCAGCTCCCCCTTGGTTTTGTGCAGAGGACATTGTGTAACTGGGGCTTCACCCCATAACTTGCTCCAGTACAGTATTTAGCTGGAGTTAATCTGCTTTTACGGGTCTTTGTCCTTTTCTAGCTTGTGAAAAGCTGCCCCATGCTGCTGGAGATGCTCATTAAGATTTGCAGGCCTGATTGCTTTAGGGAATTCTCATTGAACTGTTAATCCTCACTCCAGGAGGGCTCTGACAGGGGCCTGTTGAATGCTACTGTATCATGACGTGCTTTGTCTTGAACTCGAGATGCTCAGACACCTTACAGAGAAGGAGCAAGTTACCCACAGCAACTGTGTGCACTCCTCTTGCTCCTGCTTTCCCATGGGAGTGCACCTCACTTGACTTCTTGAACTGTGTTTTAATTTCCCTTGAGTTATCTCACCTTTGCTGCGCAGTAAGAGCGCGTATTTAGGCAGTCACTGCGGGAGGTGGATTGCTGTTTGCAGTCCCTGCTGCCCCCCAGGTGAGAGATCTTACTCAGGCTTTGAATTTGGGCTCTCTCATTCATGTTGGAAGCTGTGCAGCATCTGTAGAGGTTCCTGCAGTAACTGCTAAGAGTTATGTGTCTTTGTGCCTCAGCGTGGCTGTAGATGAATCTCTCTGCTGATGGGGGATGTACTGAGTTGTTAAGTAATTTTTTCAGACCAGATAATTAGCCAGACAGATACAAGATGACAGCTCAGGTGTCCTCCCTACTCTGCTTTTGACTTACGCACCAAAAGAAACCAATTTCTCTAGCTTTCTAGTGTTTTTTACAGTCTGACTTGAATCTTGCTGGTGTTTCTGTTAACTTCTCTTCTCTCTCAGCAGTCCAGCCTAAGACTAAGAAGACCTTGGCCAAAAGTGGTGTGAAGAATATCGTTGTGGTAGAGGGTGTCCGTATTCCGTTCTTGCAGTCCGGCACCTCGTAAGTATAAAATTAAATCCAGGCTGACTTGGGCAATAGTAGAAGCTTTCGGTGAAAAAAGTTGGCTTACTGGTTCCTTTTCATGTGGTTATTCTTAACCTAAAAGTACTGAAGCAGCAATGAGTTGGGCTGCTAGAGAGTTCCAGCTTACCTAAGGAAAAAATGAGGTTTGAAGAAGATTGCCTGTGGATACGAATTCTGAGAGGAACGAGGATTTATGCTGCACGTCTGGAGGAGCTGGTGGTGGATCTGGAGCAGATAAAGTGACAAATTTACAGAATTAGCAGGAGAGGCACAGAGAATCTGCTCCAGGCACTCCTTGCTAGACTGTTACGCCACCATTCACAGCTGAATTAGGAGCAGACCTAACTCCTAATTAGGATGGGTTATTCTTTCACTGCTGCTTTTTAGGTAGGGTGATTGTGTGCTGACCTGTACACACGTAGTCTTCACAACCTGGGGTATGAAACGTTTGATTTTAAATGCAGTGGATTGTTTCTGGTGGGTCAGCAGTTCCTCGCTGCTGCGCGCTGACGGGGTTGAAGCAGATGTCTGGGTCACCTTCTGACACCCCTAAATCTCTGCCTCTCCTCTTTAACCTCCAGGTACGCGGATCTTATGCCACATGACTTAGCGAGGGCAGCACTGCAGTAAGTACATCCAATGCTAAAAGGGCCCAGAAAACTCATTAAACTGCTGGGGTCCCCGTGTTGGTGCAGTGGCTTCAGCAGATTTGGAAGCTGAGGCTCTAGTTTTGTCTCTGAAAGATCCAGGAGCTTCATTTTTCCTGGTCCATCACCGCTTTAGTAGGTGGGTTAAGTCTTAGGGTTTACAATTGGCTTGTGTTGAAGTGCATTGTTACACAGAGGTTGTGTTGTTGTCCTGCTTGATGAATTTTAATTACTTTGAGACCTGAGTGCACGTAGTTTTGCTAAACACAGAGCCCGCAGCTACTGTTGAGGTGAGCTCACAGTTCATGGGGGAAAAACACTCTGGGCAATTCAGAGAAAACTACGTGGTGACAAGAATAATGAGCTAATTCTGCCATCGTGCTCGTCCCTTCCATTCTGCAGGGGTTTGATAAAGCTGTAGGCCATCAGCAGCAGGTTTGTTTTGTGGAGAAGCTGGGCAGAGCGCTGTTGAAAAGAGAGAAGGCTTTACCCGGCGGGGAAAGTTCCTGGACATTGAGCAGGTTCTAGTGTGTTGCAGAAGAGAAGTTATTGATTGAGGTGCCTTTAGTTTCATTTTTATTTGGCACTTTGTGGCGCGTGAAGCTGCGTTTGAATCCCAGAGGCGTTGAATTGCTGCTGTGGGGTGTGTGTCCAGGTGTTCTGCCAAGTTGTGCAATATATTTTCTAATGAACTCTGAAAACACACTGCTTGTTTTCTGTGTGTCTTTACTGAAGGTTTTACGTGTTCCTACGCCAAAGGTGATGGGCTTTGTGTCTTTACTGAAGGTTTTACGTGTTCCTACACCTAAGGTGATGGGCTTTATCTCTTAAGGCCCTCTTCCTTTCATTTTGATGTCAGAATACTCCAAATCGGGGAAGATTGGCTTAGCGGTATGGTGTAGTGATGCTTATTGCCAGTGTTGGGTTGATGGTTGGACTCAATCTGGAAGGTCCCTTCCAACCTGGACAAGTCTATGATTCAAAGATAATAACAACCATTTTGGGCTCTTGGTAGTGTAGACTAGTTCCTTTTATGAAATGCTGTAATCATTTATAGTCATATTATCGCCACGATTATTTGCAGTCCGTAGTCAATTACGCTTTTCATGAAGTCCATACACACACAAAACTCTTCTGAACTGGGGGCAGAAGGTGTATCTCCGTTGCTGCCTTGTTCTCTTGGTGGAAAGAGGATGTCTGAGGACTTACAGGGTGCAAATTCTTGTTTGTTTTGCTCTGCTCCTTTAGGGGGTTGCTGAACCGGACCAGTGTCCCAAGGGATGTTGTGGATTACATCGTCTATGGCACAGTTATCCAGGAGGTGAAAACCAGCAATGTTGCCAGAGAGGTGGGTCACGTGCACCTGATTTCTGCCAAAAGTATGAAGGTGACATACACTTGCAAAAAAAAAAAAAAAAAAAAACCCAAAAAAAACCACAAAGGAAAAGGTTCATTTAAATGTGATTTGGGAGGATGAACTAGTTGTGCAGTATTGTCTGTGAAATAACTGTGTGGGGCTCTGCCTCCTGTTGAAGTCTGCCCTAGATCAAGTGTATTTTAGTGCTGCAAAACCTCTGCTTGATTCTTCCCTGAACTTAGGCTTTTGTTAACGATTGCTGATCGCTCTGGCTGCCAGCTGGACTGAAGTGCTGGCTCGTCTAAACTACTTGAGAGGACCAGAGCATACTTTGGTCGAATCCTGTGGTATTTATTTATTTCAGCTGACTGATCTGATGCAGCTTGTGAGTGGTTTGAAATGGAGGAGCTTCGCTGCCTCTTTTTTCTGCCAGGCAGAAAACACAATTCATTATACACAGAGAGAAGCTGCTCCCCTGCAGTAACGGTACAGAGGCGGCATGTGATTTTTCTATAATCTGTGTTGTTCTCTGGGACCAGGCAAAAGCATGACGTAACCTGGGCTGGAAAGACTTTGGAGGTTATGAGGTTCTCCAGTTCCACGGGTGGTTTTCAGCCTCGTAGATGCAAATACTTGCTTTGGTCACCTGCCAGTCAGCTGAGGCCGCAGTGTAATTTTAACTCGGGAACAACTGTTGAACTTTAAACTAGTTGGCCACGTCTCAGCTGGGGAAGGTCTTGCTGGGAGCCGTTTTCCTGTCGTGGGAGGCCCTTCTCAGCTGGGTCAAATGAAACTGCAGCTTTCTGCGCTGCAGGAAACGTTGTCTCTTCCACGTAAAGCAAATCCTGGCACCTCGTACTGAGGGGTCTGAATAATTCCTTTCATGTGCCGCCTTTGCCTGTATGTGAAGCAAAGTTGATGTCAAGTAGTTGAAATGGTGAGGTATGTGATTAGTTAGATTAGTAGAGTGTCCCCCTTCATTAATGGGGCCCACTATCCATAACGTGACCGAGAGCCCTGGAGCCATCTCCTGTTTCCAGAGGCTGGGGAGAGGGGATGAGCTGCTGCATTAATTGCCCAGATGGAAACTTGACGTACTTGTTTTCAGCTTGCTCTGCAGATGGTGGCTCTGACCCCGTGGAGCAAAAGGCGTAGGTGTTTCAACAGTCACTCTTTGTTGCTCACAGGCTGCCTTGGGAGCGGGTTTCTCTGACAAAACTCCAGCCCATACAGTCACCATGGCTTGCATTTCCTCAAACCAGGCCATGACCACAGGTATGTTGGCTGGGAAGGGCACGCCGTGGGTTTGGGTTTAGCAACTCCCCTAAATCCCATCCCTCGTCTAACGTGCACTGCTTAGGGAATACAAGTAGGCATCTGAAGGAATTCTGGAATGGAAGGGAAGTTTTTGAACCAGCAAAATATAATACAATATGCTGTAGGCCGGCAGCTGCTCACCCTTTGCATTCAGGGATAGTCTCTCCTCAGTGTCCCTATTACCTTGGGAAGAAAAAGCTATGTCACATTAAGGAAGTTGCCGCCTTTCAGGCTACTTTAATCTTTGTTTTAGCCTAAATGGAGAAAAATAACTGAGACCTGGTTATTACAGAATCACAGAATCTTCTAGGTTGGAAGGGACCTTAAAGATCATCTTGTCCAACCATCAACCTAACTGACAAAAATAGACACCCACACAACAAACAAGGAGCATCACCATCACTAACCCATACCTCCCAGCACTACATCAACCCGTCTTTTGAACACCTCCAGGGATGGGGCCTCAACCCCCTCCCTGGGCAGCCCATTCCAAGGGCTGAGAACCCTTTCAGTGAAAAATTTTTTCCTAATATCCAGCCTGAACCTACCCTGGTGCAACTTGAGGCCATTTCCTCTCATCCTGTCCTGAATCCCTGGGGATATTCTTCTTGCAGCCGCTGTGTGTGACAAAGAGAAGTGGAAGTTAGAAAACTTGTGTAATTCAGAAAATGCTTCATCTGCTCGGCCTCTGTTGAGCCTGTGCTGCGTGACTCTGGCTTTAGAGGCTTGGGAAGGAAACAAAACGTGGTAGTGTCTTGTGATGGGGTCAGTGTTGAAGGCTTCGGGTCAGTGTTGAAGGCCTCTCCCCCAGCTCTGACAGGAACTCTCTGGTCCCGCAGGCGTGGGCATGATCGCGGCCGGGCAGTGCGACGTGGTGGTGGCGGGGGGGGTGGAGCTGATGTCGGACGTCCCCATTCGGCACAGCAGGAAGATGAGGAAGACCATGCTCACCCTTAACCGAGCCAAGACCTTGGGCCAAAAGCTCTCCCTGATTTCCAAAATCCGCCCTGACTACTTTGCTCCAGAGGTAATTTATATTATTTTTTTTTTTTCAGGCATTTAGATGTTTAAGCTAAACTGTTGTACAAAGAGATGTCAAACAGGTTGGCTTAAGTAACTTTTTTAGCCTCAACGGAGAGGATTTAAAAAGGGAGAGCTGGCTGCCTGGGGCTTGCTCTTATTGGATCCCTGTCCTGTGCTTTCGGTTAAAAATGCAGTTGATTAATGCATCTCACAGCAGTCGTGACTCTGCTTTGTTTTCTTACACGTTAGTCTTTGGTAAACCTAATTTATTTCCAAACCTCCCTCTCCTCCTGCAACTCCTGGACAAACTCTGCTGGAGGCTACAAAGTAGTAGCTTTTTTTCCCCATCAATATAGAACTTACACAAGGGCCCTAAAGGCTCGGGGGAATTTTTGTTTCTTGAATAATAGAAGTAACGTGCTCAGTATCAGAGAGGAGCATCCTCAGTATATCAGCGTAATTCGTTTTTTTGATTAATGCATCTTAAATACACCTGATGATTATTGCTCCTGGGTGCATCCTGCTGGGTGCTGGATGTTTTCGGCTCCCAGAATCAGCGGTTGCTGGTTAAGGCCAGGATCCTGCTGCAGAGGGAGCCACTGCTCTGTCCTGGAGGTCATGAGAGGAGAATTAGGACATGGTGGAGACGGGAGAGAAAAGGACTTCCCTCCTTGACCCCCACCCAGCTTTTCCCAAGCAAACCATGTGTCCCTGCCACTGCTGGCTGCCTCTCCTCCAGCGGAGGTGACATCCAAAGCCCAAACAAAGCAGGAAAATCGTAGATTTAAATGCATGTGGGGATTTCCCCAGTGCTGCTGGTAGAAGAGCTGAGTGGAAATCACTTGCTGCCTCTGGTTTTGTGTGAGGAAGGATTTGACCAGGAGTTGTAAGGTCCCAGAACGATGTTGTTTCACCCTGGCATGAAGAGTCGAGTCACCCTTCCCGGGGTAGTCCTTGGTGAAATGCACGGGGGGGTAGGGTAAAGCCCTGTCTGTGTGTTTCGTAGCTCCCAGCTGTGGCAGAGTTCTCCACCAGTGAGACCATGGGGCACTCGGCCGATCGTTTGGCCGCCGCCTTCGCCGTGTCCCGTTTGGAGCAGGATGAGTACGCGCTGCGCTCGCACACGCTCGCCAAGAAAGCCCAGGATGGCGGCTTGCTGCTCGACGTGGTGCCCTTCAAAGTGCCAGGTAAAAGCACGTGTGTTCACTAAAGGGCACACTAGTTCAAGAAAGAAATAGTTTATTTAGAAAAGGAAGGGGAACAGATTCATAATGTTCTGTGTATTGGATACACAGGGTTTTAACTCTCTGAAAGGCTGCCTGTTTCTCCCTGGGAAGCTACTGACACGGGAGCATGTTTTTAAACTCTTATTTCTAAATATAGAATCATAGAATTGCCCAGGTTGGGAGGGACCTTTCAGATAATGGAGTCCAACCATCACCCCAACACTGACAAACCCCCCACTGACCCATGTCCCTCAGCACCACGTCTGCCCGGCTTTGAAATCCCCCCAGGGATGGGGACTCCACCACTGCCCTGGGCAGCCTCTGCCAAGGATTGACAACCCTTTCCATGAAGAAATTTTCCCCAATATCCATCCTAAACCTCCCTTGGCAATCCTTGAGGCCGTTTCCTCTTGTCCCATCACCTGTTCCTCAAAACTTGGCCCATAAGTGTGTCCTGATTTAGGCCCAATTCTCCAGTTTAGGCTTTATAATCTGAATTTAAATTCTTTTATCAACTGGGTTGTTTTCCGTGTGGTGTTTTTTCTTACACTAAATAGATTGCAGTGCTTCATTTTTGCAGTCCTCACAGAGAAAGTAACATGGCTTCAATTTTGAAGTGCTGTTTTTTAGCTGCTTTAAATACCCTGTTGCCATGAACGGATTTTCCCTTTTTTCCTCCTCCCATTTGTCGTAAAAAGCACAACTTTCTCATTTTCTATCTTTTCCCCCTGGACTCCTCATGTGTAAATTCATGTATGTTGCTGGCTTTGGTAGTTTAAATATGCTTTTTTCTCATCAACAGGCAAAGAGACTGTCACCAAAGATAACGGGATCCGTCCCTCCTCGATAGAGCAGATGGGGAAGCTGAAGCCAGCTTTTGTCAAGCCCTTTGGGACCGTCACAGCTGCCAACTCCTCCTTCCTGGTAATGCCTCCTCCCGGTGCTGGGAGCCAGGGGGGGACAACCCCCCCACAGGGACCTGAATCAAGTGGGGAATATCTGTGAGAATGAGTTGTCTCCTTTCCTAATATCCCCCGCTTTGGGATTTTTCAAGGGTGACATTGAGGTGTATCATAATCTGGACAACCTGGGTACTGGGTTGTTTCATTGGAAAATTAGAACTAATTTCAAAGACCCTGGAGTTTTGGTCTCTCTCACCCGTTTGCTTTTCTGTAGCTGCCTCATGAGGGTCCATCATCCAAAGGCATGTCTTGAAATTCTGTCCAGGATGGGGCTGATTTCTCCAGCACATCTGCAATGGGCTGCCTTCTGTGTGTGAGGACAGCTCTTTCTCTCTTTTTAGTGCTTTTACAGGAAGCTTTTTGAGATTCTGAAGCATAAATAGCCCCAGTCCCTGAGACTCAGGAGAAGGCAGTTGCCTCCTGCAGAGGGCTCAGGGTGACTCTCCTGTTCCTGACAAGTTCTGCTGCATTTAAAAGGCTGTTTGTGACGAGAGCTTCAAAGGAAGCAAGTAACTACTGCTGGGGCAGTGCAGCAGCAGTGATATTTGCTCCTTAGTGTTCTTGGGGACTCAGAAGCTGGGAACGCCACAGCCGTGGTGTTGGGAGCAGTTGGAATGCTGTTGGTGTGCTGTCCGTGGCAGATCTGTAGGCCAGCTTGGGCTCTTGTCCCAGAAATGATCATGTGCTGGGACCATGATGTTCATGGTGAGCCTGTGACTTAACCATCCCAGAATTATCATCAGTTTGGGGATGGGGCTGAGCAGACGGATGAGTTTTTGGGGTGAAGCTTGTCCTCAGGACTGGCAGGGCAGTTTGGGACCCCTGTCCCATTTGAAACTAGGGGCACTTGTGGGTCTGGACCATAAGGAAGGGCTTCGGCAGTGTGTGTGCTACCTTCATTTGGAGATCATCCATCCTTCAGCTCCGTCACAGCCTTGTTCTTTGTCCCGTATCGTATGGGGAAGTCCTGGGAGCTGTGGTCAGATCCCTCTCTTGCCAGCAGGAGGGCTCTAGGGTCGGTTTTGTGCTTGGGGCATCTTGCTCTTCAGGCCTGACCTCCCTGTGTTTGTCTGCCCCTTTCAGACAGATGGTGCTTCAGCAATTCTGCTCATGTCCGAGGAGAAGGCGCTGGCCATGGGGTACAAACCAAAGGCCTACCTAAGGTAAAAAGAGCCTGTGTGGCCTCCAAAGTCTGCTCTCGCTTCCTTCTGCTCCTCTTCCTCTTACTAATAGCATTTCTCCCCTGCAGGGACTTTGTGTACGTGTCCCAGGATCCAAAGGACCAGCTGCTGCTGGGGTAGGTGGTGGTGTCAGAGCATCCCCTGAGAGTCTGTACGAGCACAGCAGCCTTTTGTGCCATGAGATGTTGGTTTTTTGGGGGGGAAGTCTCTCAGGAGATACTCCACCTCTTTGGGCCTTCTGGCATTGGTGTGAGAGCTGATGTGACTCAGGAGGGGGTGGCAGAAATACCCTGCTCTGCTGGGGGGCACCTCGGCGTGTCGGTACCGCAGTGGTTACCTGGGGTGGGTTGCAGCTGGAGTGGGACAAACAGGGAGCCAGGAGCCCTGGAGAGAAGGGATGTGACGTGGGTCACTGTGGGAAAAGGGGATGGTGATGTGAGGAGAGAGAATCATGCCAGGTTTCTGTTTGTTGACTCTTGTTCAGTCCAACGTACGCGACTCCCAAAGTGCTGGAGAAGGCTGGGCTCACCATGGCCGACATCGACGTGTTTGAGTTTCACGAAGCCTTTGCTGTGAGTACTCTGAACCCTAACATGGCTCCAGCTGCCAAATCCCATTCTGTAGGCATCTGTTCTATGTTGGTAAAACTTTGGCTGAGTGTAGTAATTCTACATTTATGTCTATAGATGCTGAGTGTAGTAATTCTACATTTATGTCTATGTCTATAGATAAGTACTGTATATATTTTATATATATACCTGGTCTGGTGGGAGGTGTCCCTGCCCAGGGCAGGGGTTTGGAGCTAGATAATCATAAAAGTCCCTTCCAACCCAAACCATTCTATGACACAACATTTTTTACATTAACACAGCCCATGCTAAGGGTGACTTATTTTACTTAAATCACCAAAGGGATACAGAATATTCTAAAATAATACATAAAAAACCAGTCTTGCTTTCCCAAGACCCTTGTATGAAAGAAACCACTTCTGCACGTCACCTACTGATTGGCTTGAGGATGTATGAGGAGGCCTGTTAATTGGACAGCTTTGTTTTTGAGCTAAGATTGAGCTAACAGTGATTAACGGGGCTGATCCTGGAAGATGCTGGTTTTCAGTTGGCTGTACTCGATCCGGGGCTGTAGCTCGTCTCAGGGTATTTCCTGTTTGCCAGGAGAAAATAGCAAGTCCCTCAAAATCTGCCATTTCCTTGCTAACTTTGCCTTCCTCTCCCTTCCAGGGGCAGATCCTGGCTAACCTGAAAGCCATGGATTCGGACTGGTTTGCACAAAACTACATGGGCAGGAAGTCGAAGGTAAGACAGGGCCAGGGTGGTTCTGTCCTTGGTGTAACTCCGGGATTGACTGAATTCCCCGTTGCAGCAGGGGACAGCAGTGCTGCCAGGCAGGCCTTGTGCCTGTTCTGTGAGGAGCAGCAGTGCTTCTGAGCCCTGGGTTAGCAAATCCCATAGCACCTCTCCTATGGAGACAGGCTGAGGGAGCTGGGATTGTTCAGCCTGGAGAAGAGAAGGCTCCGGGGAGACCTTATAGCAGCCTTTCAATACCTGAAGGGGGCCTATAGAAGAGCTGGAGAAGGACTCTTTGCCAGGAAGGGTAATGATAGGACAAGGGGAAACAGTTTTAAATTGGAAGAAAAAAGATTCAGATTAGATCTCAGGAAGAAATTTTTTACTCTGAGGGTGGTGAGACACTGGAACAGGTTGCCCAGGGAAGTTGTGGCTGCCCCATCCCTGGAGGGGTTCAAGGCCAGGCTGGATGGGGCTTTGAGCAACCTGCTCTAGTGGGAGGTGTCCCTGCCCAGGGCAGGGGGGTTGGAACTCGATGATCTTTGAGGTCCCTTCCAACCCAAACCATTCTGTGATTCATTCTATGATTCTATGAGTGGTTTCTTCGGGAGCGATTCCATTCCCATTTGTCAGTAGGAGGTGGAGATTTAGTGCCATAACAGTAATTACTGCAGAGAAGGGAGTTAAAAACAGCGGGAGGGCTTCAGCCCTTCTGCTTTCTAACAGCAGGGGGGATACCTGCCTGACTGCAGGGGGAGCAGGAAAGGTGTTTATGTGGTTTTGTGCTGTTTTGCACCATTTTGTGCTGTCATCGGGCACTTGTAGGTGCCAGGGAACACCTTACAGTGGCCCAGGGGGGTCTGGTGGTGTCAGTCTCCTTCCAGACAGATGACAGACACGTGTCCCTCTGTGTGTCCTTGCAGGTGGGAGCCCCTCCTCTGGAGAAGTTCAACACTTGGGGTGGCTCCCTCTCGCTGGGACACCCCTTTGGGGCCACTGGTTGCCGGCTGGTGATCACGGCTGCCCACAGGCTGAAGAAGGAGGGAGGACAATACGGGCTGGTGGCTGCCTGCGCTGCGGGAGGGCAGGTAAGGGTGCTGTGCTGTTCCCTCTGCAGAGGGGCAGGAATTGCATTTCTGCTGCTCTTGGTGCTGTGAAACCCTCCCTAGTTCCACCAGCTCTGGGGACACCTCTGAAGTCCTGTGGCACTGGGTGTTTGTGACTGTTTCAGTCAGCCCTGGGCAATGGTGCCTGCAGCCCATCGCTGCCTGTGTGATCCCAAAGGGGAGGGGAGATTTCTCCTGTGTTCTGGGGGTTTTGTTTGGTGACTCTCAAAGACTTCCCAAACTGGGACTTGTGGGTATTGTTTTTCCAATCTTAAGAAGAAAGAGTGGGGACACCTCTGAAGTCCCGTGGCACTGGGTGTTTGTGACTGTTTCAGTCAGCCCTGGGCAATGCAGCCCATTGCTGCCTGTGTGATCCCAAAGGGGAGGAGAGATTTCTCCTGTGTTCTGGGGGTTTTGTTTGGTGACTCTCAAAGACTTCCCAAACTGGGACTTGTGGGTATTGTTTTTCCAATCTTAAGAAGAAAGAGTTTGGGCCCCGGAGATGCTGGGAGGGCTGGAGCCCCTCTGCTGGGAGGGGGGGCTGAGAGAGTTGGGGGGGTCAGCCTGGAGAAGAGAAGGCTCCGGGGAGACCTTGGAGCCCCTGCCAGTCCCTCAAGAAGGGGGGCTCCAGGAAAGCTGGGGAGGGACTCTGGCTGAGGGAGGGGAGCCCTAGGAGGAGGGGGAAGGGTTGGACCCTGCAAGAGGGGAGATGGAGCTGAGCTGTGGGGAAGAACTTGTTTGGTGTGAGGGTGGTGAGAGCCTGGCCCAGGTTGGCCCGAGAAGCTGTGGCTGCCCCATCCCTGGAGGGGTTCAAGGGCAGGTTGGAGGGGGCTTGGAGCAACCTGGTGTGGTGGGAGGTGTCCCTGCCCAGGGCAGGGGGTGGCACTGGGGGGGCTTTGAAGTCCCTTCCCACCCAAACCATTCTGGTCTCTGTGCCTTGTCCAGCCTGAAGCTCATCTGTGCTGTCCCAAAGCCATCAAACCGCTGCCAGCTGAGTCCTCTTAGTGAATCTGCTCTGGATTTTCATCTCCCCTTTCAGTTTAAGAGGGTTGGCAGATGGGCATCTCCTGTTGAGTGTGTGTCTGGGATAATTAAGTCCTCCTTGTGACTGTTCTCTCTCTCTCCTTGCAGGGGCACGCGATGATAGTGGAGCTTTACCCTCAGTAAGGGGCCAAGGGACTGCTGAGAGCATATTCCTCCATCCTGTGCCTGGCGATGCCATTTCAATGCACTAATAAAAACAAACGTAATCCTTCTCGGGAAGGATTTCTGGTGGCCTTTGTAAATACCTTTTAGCTGGTAATTTTCAACTAATGAGCGCGCTCAGAGAAATATCCCACTGCCAGGAGAGTAGAAGTTAACGTGGCTCGTGGTCTCTCCAGGGTCCTTGTAACCTCACTGATTTCTACTCTAATTCCTCAATAATTACGGTTCCTCCCCTCTCCCCCCCCGGGGGAGAAGGATGGTTCTGAAGCTGTGTGTGGAGAATGAAGTCTGGAGATGAGGAGAAGGTGAAGAAGGTCGTGGGGCTGGGATGGAGTGAGCGTGTCCTCGGGGGGAGACAGAACCGCTTCCAGAGGCGGGTTCAGACCCGCTTCACCTGGTTCCTGAGGAGGGAGGTTGCTGCTCCGTGTCTGAGCTGCATCGCAATCAGCAAATTGCTTCTGGCCAATGAGTGTCGCTGCCGGTACCACAATAAATCAGGAAATGAAACGACCACTCTGGCTTTTTTTTCTTCCCCTCCCCTCGCGCCTGAGATGCGCTGGGGACGGTTTCCATGCGGTTTGTTGCAGGGGCTCTGTGCGTGCTCTGACGTGGCACTGGACATCTGCTTTCTGAAACCTGCCCAGAACCCAACAGCTCCTCCAAAAGCAGGCTCCAGAGGCTGCTTGGGTAACTCTGCTTCTCTCAGGCACCTTGGTTGGTGCGTGTTCAGCGTCTGGCACTTTGAAAACTGAAAAATAGGGGGGGCCTGGCGCTTGTGCGGAGCCAAGTCACTGATAAACTTCAGCTGTGCAGACTTTGGGGTCTGTACCCCAAGATTTTGGGAGTATGGACAGTTGTTCTTGCCCTTTGGGTCAATGCTGTGCGTTATTTTCTTCCCTCGGTGGTTTTGTTGTGCTGGTGGCTGGTGTTACTGGTCGGGGGGACGGAGCTGCTTCTGAAACAACCTGCTCCAACCCCTCTGAAGGCCTTTGTGGGGAGGAGGTGGCTTCTGCCACCCACCAGCTGCCAAGTGGCCCCGCCATTCGGGAGGTGACGCCCAGATAAGGGTGCGAAGGTGGGTGGTTCTTGTTTGCTTCCAGTTGGAAAATTGTGCAAGGATGGGAGCGTGGTGCAGGGAGGTGGCCACGGGGGCCAGTGGGAGCCGCCAGGGCCAGGGGAGGAGGAGCCTCTTGGATTTTCCTTGTGTGCAAAACAGCCCTTGGGTGGGAACGCGCTTTCCCTCCCAGCGGGTGGAAGTCTGGGAGTCTTTTAAGTGGCACCACGGCCATTGCCATTGTTCCCGGGTGTGACAGCCCTTTCCCAAGGCTGGGGGACTCCAGGTGACCCTGCTCTGTGGGACGGGTGGAGTTAAACCCTCTTTAATGTAACCCCACGCAACAAAAATGGGTAGCTGCTGCCTTTGTCCATGAGGCTGAGCCTGCTCCTCCTGCCTGCAGGGATGGATGGATGGATGGATGGATGGATGGGAGGGGGCACAAGCACCTCCCAGAGGGCTGTTGTGGCCATGCTGGGGGAAAAGCTGGGGCTGGGTTTTGCTGCAGGGACCAGGAGGAGTTGAAGCTTGTGGACTACTTGGTGCTGGTGCTTTGGGGCTGGGAGGCTGCTGGTGGTGCTCTGTGCCGGGAGGTGAGCTCACAGAATGTGCAGTATTTCCAGGGCTCAGGTGCACCTGTGGTGTCCTGGGAGCCCGGGGGCCCTGGTGGACCCTTCTGGCCTGAATGTGGTGCACCATTTGCACAGTTATTTCATAGAATCACAGAACTGTTTGGGTGGGAAGGGACCTTAAAGCCCCCCCAGTTCCATCCAGGGACACCTCCCACCACACCAGGTTGCTCCAAGCCCCCTCCAACCTGCCCTTGAACCCCTCCAGGGATGGGGCAGCCACAGCTTCTCGGGCCAACCTGGGCCAGGCTCTCACCACCCTCCCACCAAACAAGTTCTTCCCCACAGCTCAGCTCCATCTCCCCTCTTGCAGGGTCCAACCCTTCCCCCTCCTCCTAGGGCTCCCCTCCCTCATCC